CCGGAGGTATCACACCTCCGACGTTTTTTTTTTAATCTGGAAAACATTTTGCATTGGGCGACAATACGAAAGAAACAGAGATGTATTTACAGCAGGGATTCTCAACCTTGGCAACTTTAAGACTTGTGGACTTCAATTCCCAGAATTCCTTCAGCCAGCAAAGCTGGCTGAGGAATTCTGGGAATTGAAGTCCACAAGTCTTAAAGTTGCCAAGGTTGAGAACCCCTGATTTACAGGGTTCTATGTCAAATTAGGGGAAGAGGACGGCGGAAGAGGATCCCGAAATAATCCGATACATTTTTCACAGCTATCATCCTTTAACGCAGCGTTAAGATCGGAGACTTTTAACTCCCAGAATTCCCCAGCCACACAGGCTTTGCTGGGGATTTCTGGGAGCTGAAGTCCACCCATCGTAACGTTGCTGAGGGTGAGAAATTCATTTTAATCAAATTTATATCTGATATATAGTTGCAATCCTTAAAAATGTTTTGGCATAATTTTTCTTTGACCCTTATCTCTGAGGTATTTACAACTATAATGGGCTATCCTAGTAGGAAAATTTCTTGTTTAGAATTAATGAAAGTATTTAAAGTAAAGAAGAAAGAATAGAAGAAACCTCATGTGCCTATAAAAAGGGTTTGCTTTGTTTTGTTTTGTTTTGTTTTTATTTGATGCAATTTGGAAAATGCATTCTTTTTATGTGTATTCAAAATAACTCAGTAAAAATTTAAAATAGATTAGCTTTAAGTTACAAATATAAGCAATCGAATTAGTTATTTGAAAAATTCTTATGTATGTTTGTTATAAGGCGTCAAAATTAGGAATATTACTATAATAAATCCAGGAATATCTCGGAGTGTGAGAGTTATTAAAACATACAGCATATGGTTACTTTTATTGTGAACAAAACTGAAAAAAGATTGACCCACATGATGGCAAAACTGACTAAAGTTGAGAGTAGCTATGATGATTTATACTACAAAAGTATATTGTGGGGTGCAGTGGCAAAATTCTTAAAGCGAGGTTTAAATCAAGAGCAGGTGCTGAATATCTTCATTTGATCATTTTAGTAAGGATACAGTGAAGGAAGGAAGAGCACATTTAAGTAATTTATATCCATGTTTATTTTTCTACTACTACAAATCCCACTTTGTGTGTCACATTCCCTTAAGCCATCATTAACTAGAACAGAAGAATATGCATCCAAAAGATTTTGTATTTTGCACTCAGTATTGTGCTTATCTGTTTTCTTGTTCAATATTCTGTACTTCCATCATTATCTAACAATATATGGCTGTAGACTGTATGTAGATTGTATGCAAGCAACCCTCAGATTCCTTCCAAATCTGGTGGAACTCTAGCTCCGGGGCGAGCACCAGGACTTGGTCCACTGAAGGAGCCTCACTGAGCCTCAGGCTGTACAAGGGGCCCCTGGACAGTGGCATGGACTGCCCTGGGCAGTGGAGGTCAAGCACCCAGCCCGGCCCTTGAGCCCCCACGGCACCAGGACCCCACAGTCCTGCCTAGCCTAGCTGCACTTCCCTGAGGGGGTGCCCAGCTGCACTTACCTCCTCCTCAATGCTGCTGCTGCTGTGCTCACTCTCCTTGGCCAGGTTGCTCATGGTGGGTGCAGGAGGACAAAGTGCGTGGGTCAGAGGGAGGCCCACTCCCTCTCCATGCGAGGAAACCTGGCTTTGTAACCAAACCATCCTTAGCAGTAGGATGGGAGACCACCAGGGGATGGCAAAAGGGCAACAGGGTTGCTGGTGGCCAAGTGCCAAGGCAGGATTTCCCTCAGACCTTCCCTCCCTCCCTCTTATTCCAATATCCTTCCTTCCTTCCTTCCTTCCTTCCTTCCTTCCTTCCTTCCCTCCTTCCTTCCTTCCTCCCTCCCTTCTCTCCCTTTCTTACTTTCCTTCCTTCATTGTCTTTCTTTCCTTCCTCCCTCCCTCCCCTTCTTCCCTGACTCTCTCCTTTTCATTCCCATCTCCTTTCTTCCTTCCCTTACTTTCTTCCTGTTTTCCTCACCTCCTTCCCTCCCTCCTTCTCTGTGTCCAGGAAAAGACGGGGAGGGGGAGAGGTTGGCAGCACTTCTCTCAAAGAATAAGAGTTGGAAGAGACCTTTGAGGTCTTTAGTCCAAGCTCCTGCTCAAGTAGGGGACATATACCATTCCAGACAATGGAATATCCAATCTCTACTTAAAAGCCTCCAGTGATGGAGCATCCACAACTTCTGAAGGCAAGCCTTTTCCCTGGTTAGTTGTTTTCACAAGTCCTTAGTTCTAGGCTGGTTTTCTTCTTGATTAGTTTCCATCTATTATTTGCCTTCTGATGCTTTGGAAAATAGGTTGACCCCTTCTTCTCTGTGGCAGCCCATCAAATATTGGAATACTGCTATCATGTCACCACCCCTAATCCTTTTCACTAAGCTAGACATACCCAATTCCCACAAACATTTGTCATACGTTTTAGCCTCCAGCCCCCTAATCATCTATGTCAGACATGTCAAACACAAGGCCCGGGGGCCAGATGAGGCCCGCAAAGTGGTTTCATGTGGCCCGTGAAGCCATCCTGGAAACAGTGAGGGAACGCCCCCCTCTGCCTTGGCCCTGGCCCAGGCCGGCCAGGAGCCCATGTACAATTTTGTGGTGGCCATCTATGCTGAAACGCATTCAGTCTTAGCTCCATAAGCCCCCCCCCCAGCATGGCCTGAGAGGAACAGTAAGGTTCCTCCAGTGGACCATGCCTTGGCACTTGCCCTGGTCCCACCCCTTCTGCCAGAGACCCTCAGATCTATCCCACTCCTGCCCAGGCCCCCACAGGCACCCTTGATGTGAATGATGTAGAGCTGGCCACACCCACCCAGTAGGCCACACCCACTCCATCCATGCCCACCCAGTAGGCCGCACCCACCCGGCGCCCTGAGGGCAACCGCAATGCTGATGCAGCCCTCAATGAAATTGAGTTTGACCAGGGCTTTTTTTCAGCCGGAACGCGGCGGAACCGCGTTCCGGCACCTTTTTCCGGGCCAGCCGCACCGGGCGCAACATCTGGGGGGGCGCGCTCGCACTCGCAGCTCTCTGCCCCTGCCTGGCTCACAACCGCGGCCATAGGGAGGCTCGGTCGGCGCGCCCCTGGCCCGTTTCCTAGGCGACCCTGCCCGAGC